CATACTCTCCCACTGATGCAGCACCACAGTTTCTTTCTAAATTTACCCAACAAATCTGATTTTAAATTATAACAACAAAACATATTTTGGCCTTTACAGTTACAGTGGATTGGTAAATTGTTCCATGCACATTACATTTAAGATTTTTTAACTCCATGTTTGAAACGATCATCTGCAATTGATTCTTTGATACATCCTTTTTTTGCATTGACTTCTTAAGTTTCTTTCACGATTGCATAGTATATTGTTGTGTTCATCTTGATGTAAAACCAGCAATGAATCTTAGTCTCTTCTTGAGCATAAACTTTTATAATACTTTGAACAGTCTTGCTGCTATCATGGTGAAGCCAAGAGCCAAGAGATTAGGAATCTTCAACATAACCAAAGTATGCAAGGACATTGTAAATATAAGCTGGTAAATAAGCATATGTAGAATATACAGACATCCCTAGGATTGTCACCAGTGTTGCATCTGTGTTATTTACGTTAAGGAATAATCTAACATTGCTTGCAAGGTTAGGAATGATAGGATTGCAAACTCTCACTACCACACACATCTGTGGAACTGAGAGCAAGGCCCAGTTGTTCAAAGGGTGTTTAGCGCAAACCCAGGGTTAAATATAAATCCAGGTTTCTTTATTTCTTTGTTCAAAGGCCTCTCAGGGAAAAGTTTTCCCTAGTCTTTTTAGAACATCCAATGATCAAATTGCGCACAAAAAGATTTGAACTGAATTTCCTTTCAAAGCTTTCAGACCTGAAATCAAATTCCACACTAACCCTGGGTTATCTTAACCCAGCTTTGAACAACCCAGGCCAGGTGTATTACAAATCAGCACTTTGGGTTAGCAGTATAATTATAAATAGATCTACATGTTAGAGTGTACTGAAGAACTCCTGTAATGGACTGACTGAAGTACATAGAGGCTGCTAGTGTGAAGGAGTGAGAAAGACTACTTTGAATAACTGTTATCATATTTGAACTTTAGGAAATTTATTAATTGAGCCAGTAAACCACTTATTTTAAATGCAGTTTTTTAGCTTTTAAATAAAATTTATATCTCCACAATACTGTGAATTTTCTCTTCATAGTAGCTGAGAGTCAAGACATAAATTGCCACCATAAAAATGTTTAACAAACAGTTTTCTTTACCAAAGAAATTAACCCCTGAAACAGATATCACCCCCACTTTAAGCTTTTACACCCCATCACAAGAGAGCATTTCTCCATACTGTTCTCTATACATTTCCCATAGTACTGACAAGGAGTATTTGGATATCAGTCACAAACTCCTTTGATTAGTGAGCAATTTTATCATTCTTGTGACCTACAGTGATTCTGTAAGGAGAAATGAGCTGCTAACCACTCTTAGGGGTCAAAGGGTTAATAGTATTCAAACAATTATGACATTTTGCCCATTTTCAGACACTCTTCAACAATTTTAAAGAGTTACAAAAATCTATGCAAAAAGCTTGGAAATGCCATTTTTAAGCAAATGTGAATTTCTTTCCTGAAGAAACAAATGGAATTGTTAAAATTGCAATTTTAAGTTTTCAGAAGTTGACAGTTCCTTGAACTGACAATCTCTCTTGCCCAATTTGCCCTCTTGAAATTTTTGCATTTATATACATGTATACATACATTCATACATACATACATACATACATACATACATAAATATATATATATATATATATATATATATAGAGAGAGAGAGAGAGAGAGAGAGTTAAGTTAACTCTCTATGTTCATGCTTGCTGTGAGGCAGTGCACCTTTGTTGAACTGAAAGTTCTAGTAACAATTATATATATATATATATATATATATAGTTATTTACATCTACCTACCACGAGACACCAGAAGGAAAAGACTGTGATTGTTTTCAGTATATTGGAGCACCTACTGAACAAAGGGGTAAGATTTCTTCGAAACCCCACACTTCATATTTCATACAGTTCTTGGGTAGAGGAAAAAATGAAAAAAATAGATTGCCTTTACGACTATGGAAATCTCATCAAAAGGAGCACTAGGGAATAATAGAACACGGAAATAAGACACAAGATGAGATATGAATGGGTGGCCCCGTTTCTTTCGCCCTACTTTCATTGTTCCAGTACAGCTTAGAGTATGTGGGTATGCCTCACTTTAAAAAAAAATGCCACCAAAATTGCCCAGGTTACATGATCACGGCCGAATCACGATAGAAAACTGACTTCTAGGGATCGTGCTTGAAAAATGGGCCAAAAGTTGTCCAAAAAATCGAAATTTTCGCCAACTATATGCTTTGCTGCACACGTAGCAACACGTTCTAGCTGCAATGGTGTGTGAGATGTAAATATTTGACGCGTAGGTGATTCAAGACACAGGAGTTACTCAAACCGGTATGAAGAAATTCACGTTGCAAAGGATACTAAAAATCGTCCTCTCCCAAGGCTCCAGCATGTAGATGCCAGTAGTTACTTGATATTGGTAATTTTTCAGTGACAACCATTCTCGAATCCTTTGGAACATGGCGTCTTTGTTTCCTGCGCTCGCTTCGTTTCTCTTTCTAATGCAATTCCGCTGACCTGTATACCCAATTATATGAGTACACAATATGTCAGCGGTTTAACGTCTACACGAAAATTCATCTCAGCTAACTCAGCAAAACAAAGATGTAGTGGATGACTATGGCGGAATATTTTGAGGAAAAAACCGACTCAAACCTCACGATTACCCCGTCACTTCAGACCTGCCCGCTATGTAGTATCAAAAGAAAGAGTTTTACGTGTTATTCGTGCGTTCTAAGTGGAGACTTTCTTCATTCTAATGAAAGATGCCCCGAAAGGTAATCGTCGTTTAATTATTTCATAACTGAACCGGAATTTACGCATTTTCAGACAATCTGGTGTGAAATTTCAAAACAAATCAAGGAGGAGAACTTCCTTGTTACCAGTTATTTACACGAATCAATATTTCAATTTTTTACACCCACAGATATGCAGAGAAATTTAGGAAATTCGAGATTTTAAAGAGGCTAAAAAGTGAATACGAGAAACGGTAGGGTAAATTCGTTTCTTGTAAAAACTAATAGAAATATATTATGATTTCACGAAAGCTTTCAAATTTGCTGTTGCGAAAGGGTCACGTTATGATTTCACTGTTATTTCAGAGCGTTAGATGTAATTAGAAAACAAGAGAAGACGGACAAATTGGTACGTAATTATTACTGTGTGTATCTATTAAATTAAATTCGCACCAGAGCACAAATGTACTTGTTGTAGTTCAAACTGAGTTTCAAACTTTCTTGATTCATTTTCCTTCTTTGCTTTTGTCTGTAGTCCATAAGCAAAAGAAAATTTGAATCAATCTAGTTTAAATAATTTTAACCTGAAAATGTAATTAACCCTTTAAACCCTAAGAGTGACTACAGTGTAGCATCAAATTTCCCCCTGCAATATCACCCCTGAATCACATGTTAAAGTCATGAGAGTAAAGGAAATGATCACTGATAAAAGAAGCTTTTGATTGGTAAGCAAATTCTCCTTGTCAGCAACTTGGGAAATGTATAAAGAGCTGTGTGGAGAATGATTTTAAGATGTAAAGGGTTTTAAAGGAGTTATTAAGGTATTTGAACATTAGATTACACTGAAAATTTTTACTTTGGTGGAGAGAAGGTTGCTGAGGTGTGGGACAGGGCAAGGGTAAAAAATGTGGAAAAGCTTAGACCCTTTAACTCCCAAGATCTCATTATTAATTCTCCTTAATGTCTGCGATATAGTTCTTCTCATGTTAGTTTGGAGAATTTGGTATTGGATCAACTTATAATCCCCTAATTAAGATTTTTCTCTATTCTCATCACTTGTCTGCTTGGTCTTGTGTTGATATTGTAAGGAGAAATTCTATCTTGGTCACTCATGTGAGTTAAAGGGTTAAGCCAGTTGGAGGGGTACTGTTGATGGGAAAGTAAAAGAGAACTTCCAGGCATTCCAAAAGCATTAGGGGCTGAATGATTCTCTGGCTATTATGCAGAATTCTCACAACTCTTGGCCTGAGCCATTTTATGCCTCATGGTGTGATTTCAGTCATACTATGAGGTTTTGGAAAGGAAGGAAAATTCACTCAATCACTGACTCAATTTTGATTATTTAGATGTGGTGAACTTTCTCTTGTTAATTCACACTATTCTTTTACTTCTGTACTTTTTATAAAGACCCTTTAAAACTCTCTCTCATTGGTAAGTTTCTGTTTCAGCAGTAAAGTTTGAAGGGCTGAAATAAAATAATTTGTCAGTTTTACTGTAATTACCAAATGAATATGATCCCATTGATACTGTATGAGTTTATGATGTTCCAAAGGAAAAAGGAGGTCAATAATCTGAAAAAAATAAACTGGCTCCAATCAGTAATCATCTAGTAAATGTTAATGTAGTCATAGAATATTGTTTCAAGTAATTTATCTGACATGTACTCACTGTAAATGTTTACTGTTCTGCACAAATCAAATTGTACCCTGATATTTGATATAAAGAGTCAAATGATTATAATTGCAGAATTGTGAACTTATCAACTGCAGACAGAGAGTTCTACTTTTAAAGTTGGTGATCAAGGAAGCAACTCTTGATATAGAGTCAGGTGGGTTGATTTTCTAATGTAATATAAATTAAATCCTTTAATTCCCACAAATGATTAACATGTAATTTCTCCTTCTGATATCTATAAAGTATCTAGCAACCAGGTAATGAGAATACTCAGACTTATCATGTAGAAGTTGTTATCTTGATATATCTCCAAATTCTTCTAACTATTTTACTTGAAAATTTGAAGCAGCTAGAGGGGAGAATTGAAATTAAGGATTTGCAGGGTTGACAATTTTTTATTCAAGAATGTGGGATTTTATCCTTAGTGCTATAATTTTTTAAAGAGTATTTGATCATATATAGGGACATTCAAGACTTTAAGGAAAAAGGAGGAAAAAAAAAAAAAGGAAAGGTTCTAGATAGATTGAAGAAGTTTAAACCACAGTAATCCGCTTATTTTTTCCATTTATCATCCCAATTTTCAATGTTTTCATTCAACTTAATTATAATTTAGTTGATTGAATTACTGAACAGATGTAACCACTGAAAAGGGTTTGTTGTGCTAAATATGATATTTTAGCGTTGAAATTTCCCTTTTTCTGAGACCAAAATAGCAAAACACCTTTTCCTACAGTGTGGTTTCAATAATGTTCTCAGTTGCAATTTATCTATTTCAAAGAAAATTGCAAAGTTAACACATTTTTGGCTTCTCATTCACAGCAAGCCAAACTCTTAGGGTGCTCAAAGAGTCTAATAACAAAACACAATTGAGGCAAACAGAACACTCAGAACAGCTGCAAACCAAGGCAAAGCAATTACTACAGTTTCAGGTGATTTTTGGAATGTGTTTGTGGAACATGGTTTTGAAACTTTGTCCTGGTGGCAAATAGTAGGGAATTTTTGCATTAGAGAAAGTATGTTTTCCATTTTAACATTTGGAAGAAAACCTGCATTGTTAAGAGGGAGGGTTGTATAATTTGGCTAAACAAAATGATCAAAATTCCTGCAGAGGTTTTTAACTCGGCTTCTAGCAAGAAACCTTTGGCATGCCATCTTCATATTTTAATGACTTCAGAGAGAGAAATCATGCTCTTTCATCCTTGGTTTTAGCTGATACTCAAACATACTTTTCAAGTTACTGGGATCAGATATGCCCCACAAGATTAATCGTTCTTGATGTTTGAACTCCTAACAGACTGGTCTAGGAAAAAGGAAACAAGAACTGGAGTGTACCACAGAGAAGTTATGTGAAGCCCGCATAGTCAGTTTATCACAAATACAAAAATACTTGTTTGCCATACAGGTTAATCCTGTTTTGCAAGTAGTGGATGTGCCTTCCCCCAGAGATACTGCAGAAGGTATATGACTGTAATCAGATAAAAAATATTTGTTTGATGTGGTGATTTGCTATGTATCCTATATGTGGGTATTATATTATAGGCTGAGTTTCTGATGCATTTTGATAAGTTCCTTACTAATGATATATTAGAGGATAGACACATAGATGATGTGGCACCATTAACAACATTTTGCTTTTTGTCATAAAAGACAAATAGATTTAATTTTGGCATGCATTTGTTCAGTAGCAGATTTCAAAAGGTGTGAAAATGTGATAAGGACATCATTGACGCATGTGGCTTCACTTTGGGAGCCTTATTTTTTTGTTCTAATGACACATTTTGACATTATCTGTGATCTGTTACTGAACAGATCCATGTAATATGGAATCTATCAGTTGAAATCCTTTTTTAAATTGTAAGACTTTAAGTCATGTTTTAGATTAGCAGTTTCTCCCTGCATCAGAATAATTGAAGTGATCATCAACTACAGAAGCACATGACTATATAACAGATTCTCCTCGTCAATTTGCCATAGGAAATGTAAAAAGAATTTTATGGAGACTATGCATAGTAACGTTAGCATGTACTAAGGATTGCCTCTAGTCAGTCTAGTAGACATTATGAAGCACATGACTATATAGCAGATTCTCCTCGTCAATTTGCCATGGGAAATGTGAAAAGAATTGTATGGAGACTATGCATAGTAACGTTAGCATGTACTAAGGATTGCCTCTAGTCTGTCTAGTAGATTTTATTATATTAAACTAGATTACCACTTATCATTTAATAACACCATTTGTTGCTATGAGTAAGTAAATTCTGGATCTTTGGTTATTTACTGGAAATCTTCAGTGGTGGTGGTTTCCTGAGAGGTTCCTAAACTTTTGACCTTATTGTAGACCAGAGCCTGTCATCTTTCACATCTATTTTCAAAACCTGTCTTCTTATAGTTATACGAAGCTAATTTTGCTTTTTGACTTCGATAGGATTTAAACCCATGTCTCCCAACCGTCGAAGCTTGAATTTTTCAGGCTTATTTTCTGCAACGTCTCTCATTATGTCTCACCTATTTCATTTACCTATGATCTTTGCAAAGCCATCTGTGGAAGATGGATCTACAGTGCAGCAAATTAACAAATCTTTCTCCTTCAGATATCCATTGTGACATTGAGAGTGAAAATAATGACGGGAACCGCGAGTCGGAGCTGGCCGAGGCCACCCGTACATCATACATTGAAGGACGTTGGGTGTCCGAAGAGGAAGATGTGCGAATGGTGTACTCAATAAATGGTGCATATTTACCAGGGAATGGAGACTACTCATCGTATCACGAATGGGGTATGTGCGATACAGCGGTCAAATGTCGAGCATGCGCGAGGGGGTCAGTTGTGGTCGCCCTTGCGCCAATTTCCCGCGCAAGATTTCAAAGGAAAACCTAACGAAAAAATGCTGTTCCGCAAACTAAGCGAAAGAAAATTAAAACTTTCATACAAATCTGTAAACGGAAAGAAAATGGAAAAAGGAACACTAAAGACTCATCGAACACAAAGGTTATTCAAGTATGGCTTTTCCTTTGATTTCCTATTCTGTTCTGAGCTTAACCAAAATAGTTGTACGCTTTTAAAACACTGTGACTT